GCGCCCCGCCTGCAGGCCCGGGCAGCGCCCCCGCCTCCCGCGCCCTGACAGCTGCGGGCCTCGCCCCGAGCACAATGACGCGGGGGCTCTGGGGGCCGCGGCCGGGAGGCCTTCCCCGCCCCCCCGCAAGGAAGGGGGAGGCTCCGGGGAGTCCCCGGGACGACGGGTGCCCCCGGGCGGGGGAGAGGCGAGGGGGCTTTCACCCCTGGGGCCGTCTCCGGCCCGTTGTCAGCAGCTGGCCCATGGCACCGGCCCTTGTGAAGCCCCCAAGTCTGGTTCCAGCAGAGGGAGGTGGTTTCTCATCTTTCCTTGGAGTGAGGGGAAGGAATTACCTGCCTCATGACTTGGGCACATGGAAATAGTGCTGCTGATTGCTGTCCGAGATCCTAGTCTGGTCTTGGAGCAGGTGGGGCAGATTTGGACTCCCTTTTCAAAGTGCATAAAAATCATTTTAGGTGAGGGGAAAATAGAGAGAGAGCAGGGTGTCCCAATGAAACACAGTTTTCTCTTTGCAATGAAACAGGCTTAAGGCTCTTCTGTGTATAATTGTGCGTAGATGTGTTTGTGGCATGCAGCAATAAGTCAGAAATTTGCTGTTTTAAGAAAAACCCAACCCTGCCCCTTTCCAATTAAAGCATATTGCAATGCTGATTGAAATGCTTTATAAATCACAGTCAATTTCAAAGCAGTAGTTCCTGTCACCAGGTTTCTCAGCTCTAGTATAATGGGTGCATCATGTAGTTTGTAGTCTTGATTTATTATTGCTGAAGTAATAATAAAAACAGCACCCCACTGCCCAGTTACAACAAAGACTGTAAGTGAAGTGAATTTTGGGACCCAGTTGCTTCTGGAGCCAGTTTGGTCGTCGTTAACTCGGTTCTTGAAGTAGGACTAACTTGGGATAGTGGCAGGGCACTTACCAGTGTGTTTTGTTTCCTGTGTTTCAGCAGTGCTAATGCTATATTTCAATACAAAATAATTGCTTGTTCCAGTTAAGCAGTCGTTTTTTCTAAAATATTTGCCTTTTGTATGTACTGTTAGAGGAGGGGTGTCAGACTTGCCTTGTTATTGGAGCTGGATTCAGATCACAGGGCTTCTCATGGGTCAAATTTGGCATGGGCATATGGTGGCAGCATCCACTGTGGCTACCTTGGCAATGGAGGGTCTGCTTGCCCTTAGGCCAATCAAGTGCTATGTCAGTCAGTACTCACTTGCCCTCTGCCACCCATTGCCATGTCCATCAGCGTCACAGGATCTAGGATCCTGTTGCAGCCATGCCCACTGCCACCCACACCCCCAGATTCTCTGGCCAGGGGTCTTGATGGAGCAGCTCTGCAGGCCACGTGTTTGACACCGCTGTGGTGGAGTATGGAGCGTGATACAATTTTATAACTATAAATTTGTGGTCTAACTTCCTGCAAACATGATCAGCATGAAAACATGTGGCTATTGACTCTTATGCTTGACTTCTAGATCTTGGTTGGTGTGTGTTACAGAAATCTACATATATTTTGTTGAAGGTTGGGGGGTGTTATATTTATAAACCACTATTTTAACATTATAGTGGGGCTCATGTCATAACATGGTAAAGCTCCAGTTTTTGTTGTAAATAGCAACACTCTCTCTCTTTTTGATCCCTAGTTGTGCAGACCCTTTTGACCTTTCAGGCTGATGAGGTTACTCACCTACATAAAATTAAGCCACCTGCAATAGTCTTTGAAAGATTGAGGTCTTGTATTTAATACTGACACATGAAAATTAGGTTCTTAGCCACTCTTGATTGTGTGGTTCCCTTCTTCTGACATTTTAGTTTATCCTACAGACACTCTCAGTTATTACAGATTCTTTCTGATTTCAATTAACTCGCTATCCATGTATCTTTGAAAATGACACTTCATAGAGATAAATGAAAAACAAGTACTGTTGTGAGATCAGAGTATGTTACTGACCTGTGTAGGGGAGTCAGTTTATTGCTGTCAACTTTTCTTTCTTAGAATGCAGGCATTTTCTCACTCCCAGAATGAAACTAATGAGTTCTGTATTTTCTTCTGTACAAATAAAAGTGCATGAATGGGGGATGCTTTGCAAGTGACAGAGAATGTGGAGATATACTGGTAAATGGAGAGGAGGCTAGCTGTAATAACCCACTCCTTTTTGTAACTATACTATGTATTAATCTGGCCCATTTGATCTGATGGATACTGGAATGCAAGATTTAATTTTAAAAATATTGTTTCCAGTGCTTATGTTTGGTGTTGTAGTCTTTTGGTCACAAAGTGCTGTTACACTCTCTTTACCTTAAGCAGTATTAGAGGACTGAGATGCAGGAATAACTTCAGTTAATAGTTAAGTTTGTATCTGAATGATGGATATATGGATGTATAATTTCATGTAACGGCGTGCGGTTGCACTTGCATTTATCATACTTACTTATGCAGAGCAGCTGATTACACACACAAATGTTAAAATAAGTGGTAAAGTAGTACTAAAGTACAGTAAATCTTTCTCACCTTATAATACTGAATAACACTGAAATTTCCTTAAATACTGACAGTTACTGTTACTATATTAAGACCATTTTATATTTCTCAGGGTGTAAACCTTCTTGTGCTTTCAAGTGGCTATATGCTGTAAACTGAAGAAAGCACATTGCTGCAAGTGTAACCGTATTACATCATTACAAATATAGTCATGAGACAATTTTGGGACAGAATTCAGTCCCTTTTGGCCAACTTAACGTTGATGGATTATGATGGGACTTTGTATCAAGCCCTTGATTATGGGCTGTAGCACATTTAAAACGAGGAATTTGTGCTACTGCAACTTTTCCTTCTATTTAAGAAAACTGCCTTTTTTTGAAGTGTGGAGGGGGGAAGATGCCCAGAAAGAAGCCAGGTTCAGAGAGAGGAGATTTACACAGTTGTGTTCAAGGGAAAAAGAATTAAAAAAACATGCAAACTTTAAGGTCATAACCCTGCAACTTGCAAATCCCAGATACATTTGGGGTCTCAGTTCCATATGCTTATGCAGAATTGGGGTCTAAATCACATGGATGTTTGAAATGAAAACGTATTCCCTTACCTTTCACTTTCCTTGTGTGTATGTGTAAATTCAGTATACAAACTTGGAGATACTGAGTTTAACTTAATTTTCAAATTCGGTTGAGAAAAATACTTAAAAGTATTTTGACTAATGGTAGCTAGTGTTTCTGGTTGGCTTACAAAGGACAAGTAATACATAAAAGCGCTCTTTCAATGTATTTTAAATATATTTTAGAGAGGCTTATTAGGATGTTGTGCATTGTTTAGTTCTCCAGAATGATGAATGTTTTGGTCAGTGTACCCACAACTATATTTTGTACTCTCTAAAATGATTGCTGTTGCACAATTCAGATGATATGTTATTTGAAAAAGTCCTTTGTAAACCCAGATGTTTTTATGGTAAAATATTCACGTGGATGTGCCCTTCAAGTTCTTCAAGAATGTTGTAGGCATGTTGCTACTACATTTATTTCACATTATTTAAGAGGAAAATGAGATGTTTTTGTTTGTCATTTATTGATGTACCTTTTTCATCAAATAACTATTTGTTACTGAAAGGATTATTAAAATATGAGGATGAGAATCTAGTAAAGATTGCAGTATGTTAACTTAAGTGGGACAAAGGCATTTTAAAAACATGGATCGGCACAGTTCTTTCAAGCTAGAAAAATTGAGTACTTGAAAATTGCTCATTAGGGTAGCATATCTCCATATAAATTGTCTAGGTAGGTAATCTTTTATGGGTGTATTTTTGATGATATCAAATAAAATAATCACAAATGTATACAAGTTAGATATGACTCTTATTTTCAAAATGCAAATACCCAATGCTGCAACACCAGGTTTCAACACTTACCAAATGTAGCAATATTCACTTCCTGCAGTATGTTGCTGCACACACCTGTCTTTGGTCTGTTGCAGACTTGAACAGGGAAACATTGGGAAAGCAGATGCATCTTGAGGGTGCTAAAGAATTTTCCAGTAGGAAAGGAAGTAGGTGAAGAGGTGTTTTAATACTACCTTCTACTTTTTGACAAGCAGTAACTTTACTCTTTAGTGTCACATGGACAGTAAAGGAAGTAGCAAGGGTATCATTGACTGATAAAATACCTCTTAAAAGTTTTACATAAAATGCTTTTACCTAAAACATACTGTAGTTGCTGTTTTGTTACTATTGAACAGAACTAAACTGATTTTCTATGTGGTATTTGTTTTAGGGATTGAGTTGTTGCACATGTGTGCATGTCTATTTTGTGCTGTACTGCAGGGGTGT